TGCGTTACTGGCCTCATCTACTTCCCCCCTAACCAGTACCAGTAATGTGGGCAGGAGCACTGTGGTTCCTCCTGGCACCACCCCTTCCCCTCCTGGCGCCACCCCTTCCCCTGCAACCCCTCCCACATCCAATGCTGGTGCTAGTGCTTCTCTGGTGACCACCTCCTCTCGTGCCAATAAGGATGACACCAGTCCTCACGATGGGCTTCCAGTTGCGTCCACTCCTCTCACACACACTGGTGCTGACTCCATGAGCAATAGCTTTCCTCTTTTGACTCCTTCTTTCTCTGAAAATAGTACTGATGCTTTGAACACCACTGTTGTACGGGAACTACACCCGTAGGTAGGAAGGTTGCTGGCACTGGCAGTGAGTCTCCTGTTGCACATCCTTTTCCCGCTACAGTGCCTGGGGTTTCAACAGGGGTAAGACTCTTCCTGAAGTGAGTACTCTTTCTACAAATACTGTTGCTTCTAGTCATCTTCTTTCTGTTTCGACCTTCTCCCCAGAAGGAACAATTGCCACCTCTCTTAATCCCACTGATACTGCAGTGCCACCATCTTCAGACCTAGGCCCAGGAACCTCCCCTGTCACAACAAACTTAGAAAAAAGCCCCGCTACAGAGGGTACAACCTCTGGCACCACAGATACCACTTTTGATGTAGCAACTGCTACTGACACACATCCATCTAGTACCCAAGACTCGAGTTCCTTCGCATCTACTCCTGCAAAGGTTACAGCTGCCTCCTCTGAAATCACAGAGTTCACTGCTCCCAGCTCTGCTGTTACTGTGACACCAGTCTTAAGTCACACAACATTAATCCCCACTCATGTTCCTAATCAGGGCACCATTGAAACTTCTCCCACAAGCACTACAGCCACGACTATGGTTTCACTTACTACAAATGCTACACATCTCACCATTGCAGGAAACACAAATGCAGCCAGAGGAGTCGCCATGGTTACTATGTCTGCCAATGATACTTCTGTAAAAACTACAGACCAAGGCATGTCAGCTCTGCCTCCTATAGGTGACCCTGGTGCCACCAGAGATGATGAATCTCTGATAGAACATACCAGAAAAGTCACTGCTACTTATCCTCAAAATAGCCCCACTCGTGCTTTAAATACCACTTCCACAGGCACTGGGGATACCCGACACCAACCACCACCAATGCTCACAATGCTGTGTAGCACCAGGCACCACAGGTACTGTAGATACTCCCACCAGAGGTGCCCCAACTACTCAACTACTCTTAACCTTGGCACCACAAGTGTTTCTACTGAATACTTTCTCTACTACCCCACATGGTACTCAAGAATCTGCCACTTCTCATACACAAACACTGAAGACAGCACATGTGCTGCTAAAGCTACTGGAAATGCCATTACAGTATGTAGTTCTACCATGGCTACACATATTTTCAACACAAAAACCACAAATTCAATTACTACTTATACAGTCCTTTCAAATTCTTACATCCCAAGTGCCACAGATATCCTGTATATTTCAATATATACTTTGGATACTTCCACTCCTCATAGAATAACATAGGATGCTTCTGTTATTGCATCTACAGAAATCACAAGTGCCATAAATGCTGCTCTAGCTCCATGAATGCTGTTGAAGCCGGGTCATTACTACAGATAACCCTTTGAAACAACTATTGCATATGTAGACAATCAGTGGATACCCAATCTTATGCTTTCTGTTTTCACCATTATTTTTACTCTAACCAGAGCAGATATGGGTATTCCAACACTGTCAACATTGCAGGCAGGTTTAAGAATGCATCCATTACAAAGTTTTCACCAAAGAAGCCAAATGGTGTACCATGATTCTTTTAATCATAGTTATTATTTCCATAGCCCTATTAATTAAACTTTAAATATTTATATCCTTGCTACAGACTTCACACACAATCTTGGTGTTTTCAGATAATATATTTATAGACATTAGGTGCTATGAATACTAGTACCCAAAACTCGAGTTCTTGTAGATGTAGTTATTGAAATAGCTCAAATTGTTTCTTGGGTAACAGGACATGATACAACAGTATCACTAAATGCAGTAGTGATACACATGACACTCAATTGACCTTTCCAAAAACAGTTATTAATATTGCAAATTATTTGATTAATGATGCAAAAATAGCACTTTATTTTCCTGAGGACTTTTCTAAGTACCAGGGCTACCAATATAGAAATTTGCTATCACACATGCCAAAAGTCATATTGCTTTTCATAAAATTCTCATTGTTGCTGTATATATGGAAAATGCTATCATTGTAGATATTGTATATGCCTTGACTTCAGGCACTGAAGTCATTAAATTATGAATATTAAACCTTTTGCTATCACAGAAAATAAAAATGACTCTACATAATAAAAAAGCAGTTCCCCCAATTTTGCAGTCCTTATTTCCATGGGCATTATTGATACTACAAATTTGATAACTATAGGTTGAATATCCCTTTTCTGAAATGCTTGGGACCAGAAGTGTTTTGGATTTCATGTATTTTTCAGAGTTCGAAACATTTGTATATACAGAATAAGCTTACCTTGGGGATGTGATCCGAATCTAAGCATGCTTTATTTTTCATAGATACCTTATACATATAGCCCGAAGTTCATTTTATATAATATGTTTAATTACTTTTTTCCTGAACAAGGTTTTATGTATGAAATTTCTCACTGGCTGCATCATGTTGGTGCTCAAAATGTTTCAATTTCAGACTTACATATTAGGGATGCCCAACATGCACTACTGTAGTGTGGGACACTCAAGTCCTTCCAGCACATTCACATTCATCTTATTTATGAATCTAGGCCCTTACTGGTACCACCTGTGACTAGCTCTGACTCTCCAGAAATCACCCAGAGAAAAGACACAGCCCATGGGAAGCGGTCGACCCTGGAATCAGAGTTCATAATCTTGTTTATTTTTCTTTTATCTGCCTGCTTTCCCTTTGACTGATATTTGACACTCCCTTCAGTGTGAAAAGGCTTTTGTATGTTCTTGGTCTTTTATATACAAATTCATCACTTTATCTCCAACCTATTACTTCCTCAGATCACCCAGAGGCCCCTCAGTAGACTCAGGGTCATTGCCAAATCCAGCCACTTTTGTGCTGTTGAAGGTTTAACTCTAGAAAAGCTTTCTCCAAGTGCAGTTACAGAATCTGTGCAGTGCCCCACAATACTCTCTGGGATCAAAACTATTGTCACTCTAATAAGCTGTTATTTGCCTATTTCTTATTCTTACTCTTATTCTCTCATTAGTACATGGTAGATTTTTCCCAGAGATTCTATTCTGTGTTGTATCACAATAGATAAATATAGAGACAGATGCTAGAATATAGTTTTATTCTGTTATGCAAGATACTCATATTATTCGGATTTGCAAAATGTAAAACAGTGCCATTCCTTTTACTGTTTTTTTTTGTGCTTTGAAAAATACAGTTATTTTTCCACAAAGTATGTTATTTATGTTAACATGTGGGAATATATTGTTATTTTTAATGAATGAAAAAATAAATAAGGACAAAAATATTTTATGAGTGACTCAATTTTAAATTTGAATGCAGTTGATACTAACAGATATAACACACATAAAGGAAACATGGTGTCTTTACTGAATTGGATGTAAAGAAGGCCTGAGAACAGAGTTTGAGAACCACTTCTTTAGGGTGACCACATTCACACTCTCAGGTCCCTGCCAGGTTCTCTACTGAACAGCACAGAGGATCTCCAGCATCTGTGACTTATTCCTCATGATTATCCACCACCTTCTACAAACACTTCTTCCCAGTTTTCTGAATGGCCATCACAGCTGTGCTGTGGTCAGGACATTTTTGTGGTGCTCTACATGAGGGCCACAGGATCATCAGTTAGCTACATTTGCCTTGTGGTTTTGGCACACAAGTTACAAGGCCAAGAGACCATATGCTGGAGTATACATGGCCCTCAACTTGACTTTCCACCTCCAAACAAAACTTATATAACTCTAAGGGATTGGTCATGAACTCCCTCCCTTGTACCTTTACAGAGGGAGACCCCAGTGTACTTGTCTTGTTGGTACCAAACTCAGACAAAATAAAGTGCTCAGTGTCCTAAGGCCCCAGAAGATGCTGCTTCCAGCTGAATCTTGGCCAAAGGCCTCCCTATAAGTACTTGAGATTTGGAAAACCGGATGCGTTTGCTCTAATAAACAGCACCGAAGTTGCTGAAACCCAACCCCTTTGTACATGTAAGTGGACCATAATTACAAGAATGGAAGAAGTACTCTGAAAAATAAAACAATTCAAACAAAATCCTGGACTTGGTCAAATATCTGAATACATTTGAGTCAGTGCAAGGGGAGTGGTTCCCAAACCAGGTTTGGAAAACACGGGGACAATGCTTACTTACCACTGTGTGTGAGATAGCTTTCTATCACTGTGACAAGACACCTGAGGAAACTAAATCAGATAAGGAAAGATTCATTTTGGCTCATGGTGTCAGAGGTTCCATTCAGTCCATGGTCACTTGGCTCAGTAGGTTCTGGGTTTGTGATGAGAGAGACATCAGGGCAGGGATAGAATATCAGAGAAAAGCTGCTACTTCATGGTGGCAAGGAAACAGGGCCAGAGGCAAGGGAAAAATAACCTTCAAGAGCAAGTCCTCTGTGACCACCCCCTCAAGTTTCCAGCACCTCCCAGTAGCACCAACAGTGGGAACAAGCCTTTTAACTTGAGCTTTTGGGGACATCCCAGTTCCAAACTATCACACAGTGGCAACACAGTAAAACTTATGCATGGACCCTAATTTATAAGATCCAAGGAAACTTCTGTGACCTACAATGACTTGAAAACTTTATTTATTAGTCTGTTACCTCACTGGGCCACTCACGTAGGTGATTTTAATTCTGCACTGTGTATTGCAAATCATGTTCTAAATATAAATACATTTATTTTTCTACACTTCTGATATTTAGATGTTTCCACCCACACAATTATCCCTGTGCACAGTTATTGTCAGTATTACAATTGATACTCTAATACAATATAATGTAATATGTTACATTATATTATTCACTTAAACTTTATTTTGTCACTATGCAAACACTATTCTTATCAACCATGTAAGAATTATTGTATTCATAGTGTATGATTAATTTTTCAGTGAAAAATATAGATGATGGATGTTTTGGATTAACAAGATATTCACTAGAGGCTAGAGGGACTAAGAAACAATTTAAGGAATAGGGGAATTTGGGATGTGTTCAATGGTACAGAAAAGATTGTGTGCCAATCCCAAAAAAAAAAAAACAAATACAAAATATCTTCTCTGATATAAGGGGAGCAACACAAAATGAGGTAGGGAGGAAGAGCATGGGAAGAAGATTACCTCTAGATAGGGAAGAGGGATGGGAGGGAAAGAGAGGGAGAAGGGGAATTGCATGGATGGTGGAAGGAGATCTTCATCGTTGTACAAAATACATGTATGAAGAAGTGAATTTGGTGTCAACATATCTAATGTACAGAGATATGATAAATTGTGGTATAAAGGTGTATTAAGAATTGTAATGCAAAAGATAATAATAATAATAATAAGAGAGCTCATGTAAAAATAAATAAAAATGTAAAAAAAAAGATCGTGAGAAAGCATTTCTGGTGGGGAGTGAATTAGACAAAGAAAGCAACTTCATATAGTATGATTAGCTGATTTAAAAAATAGGCTACTCTTTTTATAGCAGAGAATTATAGTGGGAGAAAAGGTTCAAGTTTAATGTCCACAGCCAATCATTTGATAAATGACGTTTGAGTGAGGATTGGAAGGGTGTTTATTCAAGCAGAGTCCACAGGGCTAAAAGCATGCTTTGATTTCATATTCCCTCTATGGGCTTGGTCATGAACTCCCTCACTTGTACCTTTACAGAGGGAGACCCCAGCGTATTTGGGGTCATGGAGTGTACACTGCATGAAAGGCATAGAATAAGCGCTTACAGAGATTGAGAGTCTGTGGAAAGCTGAAACTGGCTTCTGACTTACATCTGGGCACTTACTGAACTGCAGAAAGTCCTAGCCTCCTTAAGTAACATAGTGGAGTATGGAATATGGGCAAAGGTCACCAGAATTTCTGCATCTCCCAGGGTGTTCAAGCCATTGTAATGTGCATGATTAGTTTTCCAATGGAAATATAGATGATGGAAAATTTTGCATTAACAAGATTTTTACTAGAGGCTAGAGGGACTAAGGAACATTTGAGGAATAGGGGAAATTGAGGTGGGTCCTACACATTGTATGAGAATTCTGGAGGTGGCAAGGATCAAAGTCTCTCTGATGGTGGATGTAGAGCCAGGGCAGCTTTCCTGCAGCCTAGACTCTCATAGTGTTCAATGTAGCCAGGAAATGAGATCCTTAGGTGGTGTGGTGGAATGTGGCTGGGCCATAGCTGTCACAAAGAAGCATGCCCTATAAGCCAGGGGATCCCAGTGATAAGAGTCTATGGGATAGACCAGCCAAAGTAGAAACTAAGATTGGGAGTGGAAGAGATCAAAACAGGTCAGGTATCTTGCATCCCACCCTGTACTAGTTGCTGCAAAAGGGAGTTTTGAAAAACTCACAGAATATGCCTAAAGGAAGAAAATAACACTGGGAGCTTGTCACACCAAGGATACAGATGCTTTGCCACAGTATTAATCACTGAGACTACTTTGTCTTTTCCTGTGATTCCCATCTATAGAGGAGAACTGAGAGTCGGGAGTGTGGAAGCACAGACCATGATCCCCTGTCCCATCACTAAGTGATGGAGTCTGATGAGATACTGTTAAGGAAAAGGACTCCAACTCAGCATCCATGGCGGCGGGGGGGAGGGGTGTCACTAAAAGGTAAAGATGCTGCCCAAAGTCTGGAGCAGGGGATGGACCATCTTCATGCAACTACAGAGGGAAGGAGTCAAAACAAATATTAGCTTGCTGTTTACTTCCCTCAGTACTGAGGATTGAACTCAGGGCCTTGCACATGCTGGACAATGTCTCCAACATTTGTCCCGTCCTGCAGGACACATCAACGTGGGCAGTGAACCTAGATGGGGAGGAATGAAGGGACAAGAGACACGAAGGGTGACAGCAAGAGAAAAGTTCTGATCAAGCTGCAAACTTTTATTGTTCACACAGGGGTATTTATGGGCTGGGGATGGGGGGAGCTCTCTTATCGGAAGTTGCTGGAAGTCTTCACAAGGTGAGATAGCGCAGGATGTTTCAGGAAGACAGATGGCGGCAGGATGTCTCAGGGAGATGGATGGCTGCAGGGTGTCTCCCAGGCGAGATGTCTCCTAGGGGGCTGTTTCTTGTAACTGTCAGGC